TAGGAAATAATTGGTGAATGAAATAAAAGTGAATATGGAAAAATATAAATGGTTATCAGGAAGATACAAGAAATTCAATGCAAAAGGAATAATGGAAACGCTTCTTGAGGGAGATAATGACAAGTTAATGTTAAAAAGAATTAAATTTGGTTTCATATCGGATTGTTTATATACTGAATCGATCCCATACTTTCCAGATGAAGATAAAGTTCACAAATATACATTTTTCGATAGTTCGCGAGATTTCCACTTGGCATGAGCTATAATATGGTAAACATAATGCGAACTAAAGTGCACATTTCAACAGAATGAAATAATTTCCTCGATGTCCGCTCATTGTTGAGTATATAAGCATCAGTTTTTTAATTATTTGATTTGATTTCTAAATCAATTATATGCCGCTATGAGACATGGAAAACGGAAGTATTAGGATGTCTCTGTTCAGATTATATCAGAGTACAGGTAGCTATACATAAACAAGCAAATCTTCTGTGTTTATCTACTACTACATTTATTTATAGATATATATAAACATAAACACACACACACATCCTAAATCTTGTTGAACAAAATATGTATAGATGAGAAATGGATGGTCTGAAAAAACATAATTGAGTACAACCAATAAGAATCTCTCGATGAGACTCATGCAATAAATACGTCTTTGCACTCATGCTGTTGTATCGTTCATTTCGTTTGAAACGGAGAGTTCAAGTAATTCGTGAACTTGCTTCACTTAAAGCTGGAGGAGTGCTTTGGAATTATGGCTGTAGATTTATTCCAGTAAGCCCTCGGTTCACTGTACCACGACTTCGAAACGCAATACTCCAGGGACTTTTTTGCATAAATCTACAATTATAACTTCAAGACAATTCTCCTTCGGCTTACGGTGAAGCCATTTTACGAATGCCTTACACTCGTCGCTTTAAACGAAATGAATGATACAACAAAATGAATTTATAAATGCGTTATTCGAAACACAACTTCTTGACGTATCTAATATTTAGAATTAGCATTCATTGCGTTCGATAGTAGCCTAAATACAGGTGGCATCTAATAAGAGAAGTCATCGTCTGAGCGATAACAGTATAGCTCACCTGATCATGAGGAGTATCATTTTTATTGGACTGTTGACGACAGTGAAGATAAACAGACAAATAGCGGGGCCGAACCCGATCAGAGCGCAACCAATTGCGCCGAGAGTAGGCATAATGAACCGCAGTTAACGCCGTCGTTGCCAAGTTGGTTATCGTATTTAGAGCTACAGGATGGAGGCTTCAAAATAAGGTATGAAAAAAATGCAGAGGCATATAATAGAGGATGAGAGGGCTAGGATGTGAATGAATGTATAAGTCTTGGCTTAATAAGAGAACATGAATTTTTAGTCTGCTCAGTGATGGTTCTAACTTCACTCACACTCGTCCAACACGTTAGATTAAATTCATCAACCAAACCAGACGTACGAGATTACGCAGCCCCAGTCATGCCTTTCTTAGAGTGGTTAAACCATAATGATTCTAGAGTGATAGGTATGGATAGGTGGTTTAGTAAGCTGACTTAAACACTTACATGCCTACATCGCATTAATTCAACCATACTTGCTTACGGACTTACGTAGTCTCGTTCAGGATTTTTTCTTGGATCATTAAGCCTTGATGACCAGAGCCGTACATTAGCCCTTTTCATCACTGATTTAGGACCGGTAGTGCGTATATACATTAGCACATACACACATTCGAGCAAAAGTAGCAGGACCAACACGACAGATAATTAGCTAAATCATTCCATATCAATCCATGCCCATTCATTTTCGTTTTTTTCAATTGAGTAAATATAAGAGGTAGGATAGAGCCGGATAGTTTTTTTTACCTAATGTTAACGTGAGACTTAAAATACGATAGAAGAAAGCTCAGCTCAGCCCATTTTTAACCGAAATGAGGGAGGTCTCGTGGACTGCGTCAACCTGAATGTTGTATTAAAGCCAAACGGCTGCAGTACGAGATTCAGCCGTTCTTTTCTGGTGAGATCGACCTTAGAATCTTTTCTTCATGCACTTTCATACGAGATGAAAGTCTCTCCAACAGAAAAATAGACTCACAAAAGTGGATATACCTAGCTTCCTGTGAAGACTAAAAAACTACGGCAAATATTATGGAAATGAAATATTTAGGTCACCACGATGGAAGAAACAACACTCCACAAGTTTACCCACGCAATATGAGAATGTAGACAGAGTGAATTGCTTGGGAATTTATTGCATAACAATCGGTGTCTGTAAACAATGTATATTGACGAAACAGGAAGAAAAATCAGTATATGAATCAAGAAAAATGAGTGTAGAAAGATCGGAAATAGCGGAATATATTGCACGGATGGAATCAATTAGAAGGCATTAGAAATAAGAGTCTAACAAGGTAAAAACACAATAAGATGGAAGATTAGAGGCCATTGCTATTGTTGCCGAGATAATTTTAATTAACAAGAGATTGGAAGAGAGAAGAGCTAGCGATAACGTTGCCTATTGCTTAAGCAACCCGAGAGAAAAAGGGATACAGTAAGACCAGCACAAAAGAGATGCTTGTATCAAGGACCTATCATTTACCAGATAAAAAGGGATTGCAAGTAAGAAGCGATTGAGGATCATTTGGAAATCAAGAGAAGATTTTTTCAGCGAGGATATTCTGCATGAAGAAGCAACTACAACTTTGGGGCCCTGACGGTCACATGAATAGACAAATAAAGATTACCATCAAAGGAATTTGGCACTATGGCTAGTAGATCAAAGCCAGATTGACTATAAATCCACTTGAGATGCAGCAGAAGATCAGAGATAGACTTTCTTGGTTTGCGCATGGGGACACGAGTTGGATCACATAGATGAGATATAGACAATACCTGATATCTGCAAGCATGGGAATAAAAGCCCAGGCGTTCTGCTCGTTGAGACCACAGTATACGTGCCACCAAAGGCTAGTTGCAGACTATAAGATTAAAGCGTATACTATGACTAGAACCAAGTGAAATAAATGAAACAGAAAGAGTAGCAACGAATCTTCGGGGCCATGGGAGAGATACGGATAGGAGGCCCAATTCGGAGCAACAATTCCGGCAAATCGAAGTGGAGGAGGAGCAAGGTAAATACACAGACGTGATAACACCCCATTAAACTCGCCCAAAAAAGATACACATCTAGAGAAGTCGAATATAAACAAGTCAGAAGTCGTGATGGGGCGAGAGTGAGATAACAGCGCAGGAAATAGCTAGATGTGTCAGGACAGAAAGAGAAGTGATAACAGAGCCGTTTGGCGGAAAGTTGAACAAGAGGGTGACTACTTTTTTACTTGACGAGTTGTAGTGTGGTGCTAATGGAAAGACTCCCAAACGATGCCGGCTAAACGTTTGGAAATGTACTAAATCCACGGTCTGACGTTGGGAATTGTCATAACTATTATAGCAGAGGACTTGGGACAAGGTGCGCCCCGACAACACGACGAAGTTGCGAAAACGAGGTCTGATCATTTAAATTAATATTCATACATGTGCATGCTCACTGAACAAAACATGCGTAGATTGAGGTTCCTTATGGATTATATTACTTGCACAGGTTTTTCGTTTTATAAATAGAATGTCAAGACAACCAGTAGCTCATATTTATTAAATGTATTCACTCTATTTTATTTGAGGTGGTGAAGGAGTAGTAGTTGAATTTTTCCGCCAGCGACATAAGTAGGCCCTACTTTTCCCGATAGCCTTGCTTCACAAAAGGTGTTCTCATCCAGGATGAACTGCAGTTTCGATCTCGCCTAGGTCTTATCAGCTGCCCCAGCAAAACTCGAATTCTAGTAGTGCAGAGTATAATCCCGACACTTTAATCACAAAGTAAATGGCCTAGCCTTCTATGGAATTCACACCTGCTCTGTGATTAAAGGGCACTCATGGCATAGTGTTTAGCATGTCGAGATTATATACTTCACTACCAGTATTCGAATCCCGCTTGCTGATGAGCTGCAGTACACTTCATTCTGTATAGGAAAAACTTTTGGGAAGCAAGGTTATGTAAAATTCACTGGAAACGTAAAGCCTATTCATATCAGCGTGGAAAAAATTCAACAACCAGTCTTTCATCACATTAAACGAAATAGTGAATACATCAAATTACTTACTTTGGTACTCAGGCTTCAGATAGTTGAGCTACTCACGATTAAATGAGGTCTAATTTTGCAGTTTAACTTCACTCTACTCAGTATCTCGGGCTGTAACTTCATCTAAGAAGTATTGCAAACTTGCCTGAAATATGCCTAATGAATACTTCTACAGATTCCAAAACTGTTCGTATACATAAAATTGCAATACTTTATCACCTGCCTACAATTAATGGATAACATTTAGCCGCAGGGCACATGCGAAGATAAATGTAAGGTATTTTTTATTCATAAGTAGGTTTTTCTAGACTACTAGTAGATGATATATGGCAAGTGAATTCCCCCCTTCATTCAAAATGATAATGGTAGTTAAATATATGACCAACAGATAGTCTCGAAAAACCCATTTATAATAATAAAATAAATAATGTGGTCGATTACTATAGCAAATACAA